GGTGGGGGGGCGGGGGGGTTTTAAAGAAGGCTGAAATGCATCAGGCTCAGGGCTGCTGTGGCCTCCGTGTGGGCCACTCTGTGTTCCAGGTCTCTGTCTCCAAGGGATGACTGCATTTGTGACCCTTCCCTCTCAGGACACATTTTGTCACCTAAGCAGCAGGATGTGACCACTTTAGGAAGTTTTCTTACCCCCACCCCCAAATCTCTACCATTTATGATTCCTTCTCTGGTCCCCAACACTTACAGAGTACTTATTATATCCCAGGCCCTCTTCTAAGCACTTGACACATATTACTTTATTTAATTCCCCCAAATCTATATGAAGTTTTATTATTATCCCCTTTTTACATGGGGAGAGACTGAGGCACAGAGAAACTGAATAGGTTATATGGTCAAATCAAGGGTACTATTTTTTTTTTTTTTTTTTTCCTTGCGTTATGCGGACCTCTCACTGTTGTGGCCTCTCCCATTTGCGGAGCACAGGCTCCGGACGCGCAGGCTCAGCGGCCATGGCTCACGGGCCCAGCCGCTCCGCGGCACGTGGGATCTTCCCGAAACGGGGCACGAACCCGCGTCTCCTGCATCGGCAGGCGGACTCTCAAGCACTGCGCCACCAGGGAAGCCCAAGGGTACTATTAAGTCGTCAGGAGTCCCAGTTAAAAATGGAAGTACCCCTGTGATATTGGCTTATTAAGTCATAATCAGCTATGACTATAAAAATGCAAATCAATTTGTGAGATGTGTTTTAGCCCATGGCTGATCATAGGGTCTGCTGAGCGAGGGAAGAGACCCAGGACTGATTGCAGTTGTCACGATAAAAGGAAAAGAAAGTAGAGAAAGACAAAATGCTTCAAGGCCTTGACAGCGTTGCCTAGAGAGAGACTGAGAAGTTGAATGTACACTCAGAGGAGGGAAGGCAGCTTCAGAGGCACAAGGCGGGGAGACGATGGCAACCAAGGACAGTGTTACCAAAAGAAGAGAAAGGGACCATTAAGAAATAAACTTAGCTTATTTTCAGTTTTTACCCAGAGAAAATCCTTCCTAAAAAAAACCTCCAATCTCTTAACCAAAACATAAGCCCTGGTTCGTGTCTTCCTTATAGCATCCTCAGTGTCGCAAGTATTTAGTGAGCTATTGTTACCATGATGCGAAACTGAGTACTTCATTACTCCCTCCTCTATACCACCCATGGTATTTTACACTTACTACTAATATAGGAACTATCACATTAAACTGTCATCATTTGTTTACATCTCTGAATTGTGAGCTTCTTTGGATAACATTCTGGCTTTCACATAGAAATTATAACATGAGACTGACAGACTGCATTTGTAAGACAACTGAGCAAGCATTGGTCCAATAAGAAGCCACACGTGCTGCTGGAATAACTGTATATCCATATGGCAAAAGTGAACCTTGGCCCCTGCTTCACGCCACATATAAAAATTAACTTGAGATGGATCTTAGATCTAAACATAAAAGCTAAAATTATAAATCATATATAAAAATTAACTTGAGATGGATCTGAGATCTAAACATAAAAGCTAAAATTATAAATCATATATAAAAATTAACTTGAGATGGATCTTAGATCTAAACATAAAAGCTAAAATTATAAAACAGGAAAGTATCTTGTGACTTGAGAGTAGGCAAAAGTTTCTTAGGCAGGTCACAGAAACCATAAAAGAAAAAAAAAAGATAAATTAGACTCCATCAAAATTAAGGAATTCAGCTCACCAAAATATGCCATTGAGAAAATTAATAGACAAGCTACAGGTGGGGATAAAATATCCAAAAGGCATATCTGACAAAAGGCTAGTGTCCAGAATATATAAATAACATCTACAACTCAACAATTAAAAGAAAAAGAGCAAAAGAGAGAATGGGTAAAAGAACTGAGCAGATGCTTCCCAAAGAAGATACACAAATGGCCAATAAGTACATGACAACCTGCCCAACATCATTAGTGATCAGAAAAATGCAAACTAAAACACTGTGAGATAACTTTACACATCCACTAGAACAGCTAACATTAAAAAGATTTATAGCACCAAAGTTAAGAGACGATGTGAAGCAAACAGAACTCGCATACTTTGTTCATGGAATGTACCATGGAACGACCTCTTTGGGTAAAGATCTGGAAATTTCTTATAAAACCAAATGTAAACCTAACATATAATAAAACAACTTCACTCTTTGGTATTTACCCAAAAGAAATGAAAATAAATGTCCACAAAAAAACTTGTATAAGGATGACCGTAACAGCTCTATTCATAATATCCAAAAACTGGAAACAGTCCATTTATCCATCAATAGGAAAATGGATAAATTACAGTATATTCATACAATGGAATACTATCCAATGACTAAAAAGGAGAACAAATTGCTGATGCATGCAACAACATGGATGAATTTCAAAACCATAATGCTGAGTGAAAGAGCCTCACACACAAGAATGCATGTTGCATGGCTTATGTGTAATTCTAGACCAGGCAAATTTAATCTGTGTTTTTTTAAAAACAACAACAACAACAACAGAATAATTATTGCCTCTGGAAGAATGGGGGCAGGGATCGATGGGAAAGGTGAATGCAGAACCTTCTGGGGTGCTGGTAATGTTCTATACCTTGAGATGGGTGTGGGTTATACATTTGTCAAAACTCAACCAGTGTTCACTTAAGATTTGTGCATTTTACTGGGTATAAACATTACGTCAAAAGGGAAACAGGTTGAAAACAAATACTGAACCCTAGATCTGCATGCTGAGATACTGAGGGGAATGTGTATAGATGTTTGCAGTTGGAATTTGTCAAAAATATAAGCTGGATTGATGGACAGATATATGGTCAGCAAGTATAGTAAAATGTTAGTGGTAGAATCTAGATGGTGGATATGCTTACCGTAAATTTCTTTCAGTGTTGCGATATGTTTGAAAATTTTCATGATAAAATTCCGTGGTACAAAAAAATTAAAGAAAACCCACCAATAATTAGGCTCTTTTTTTTTTGGGGGGGGTGGGGGGTACGCGGGCCTCTCACTGCTGTGGCCCCTCCCGCTGCGGAGCACAGGCTCCGACGCGTAGGCTCAGCGGCCATGGCTCACGGGCCCAGCCGCTCCGCGGCATGCGGGATCTTCGCGGACCGGGGCACGAACCCGTGTCCCCTGTGTCGGCAGGCAGACTCGCAACCACTGCGCCACCAGGGAAGCCCAATAATTAGGCTCTTGATCTTAGTTTTTCAAGGTCCTGTTGACGTGGTATGTCTTTGGTGATTGAGGCGAAGAATTTCTTCTTCCAGCACAGAAACCCTAAAAGTACAGTTCTCTAATGGACTAGACATCACTCTGTCCCTGAAAGAGATTTAAGCTTAAAGGGACAAATTTGGTGGGGGTGGAGCTTATGCCTCTGTTGACACGCTTTTGTTACATTAACAGAAATGTTTTCTTTCCCGTTTCTAAACGCTACTCTCTGTTCTCTCTTGCCCCAACGCTCTCCTGTGTAGGAATCTTCCTGCCATCCTGGACTGGGTGAAGACTCAGAAGCCTGGAGCCCTGGGTGTCAACATCATCACGTCTGACTTCGTGGACCTGGTGGACTTTGCCACAGCTGTCATTGAATTGAATGACCTCCTACAGGAGGATAGAGCTTTGGCTAAATGCTGATTTAACTTGTTAAATATTGAAGTTGTTGATCCAGGCTAGAGTTCTGAAGGGTTTCTTGTTAAGTTGGCCCCTGGGCAGTGATGGTGGAGGGAGTCAGAGGAGGGGACATTTTTTTTTCCCCTCCTCACAGGGCCATTTGGATAAAATTACAGGGCTTTTAATTGAATTTTTCCCAAATGAGACTTTGTAAAAACTTAAGTCCGAGGGAAGAAAGCTTGTTTCATGTGATCAAGGTCAGCATCTCCCCAATGGCATATGATGTTGAATGTAATATGGAAGTGGGGTTTCCAGGTTCCACTGGGGTATTGAGTGTCCCCTAATTGGCCCAGTTCCCTGTTGTCTTCTGGGATGTTGTGTTTGAGGCAGAGAGAAGGCTGAAGCAGAAGGG